TAAAACATATCACAACAATTATCTCGTCCAGGTAAGTGCCATTTGTATGTAAAAAATGTCACTTTCACTGATGATAGCATTGTTGTAATACATTGAAACACTAATATTTGTGTTCAGTGAAGTAAAACAGTACCCCACATGTACAGGTTGTATGGTGTCATAGAAAGTTACAGGGTTATATACAGTGCTAGCAAATTAAATTCCCTGGACTTTTGGCCTGGGTTGTCAGTCAGGTCCTGCAAATTGTAATTAATAAAATGACCTAATTATGTAAAACTATTACATAAATATATACATAGAATTATTATATATATATATACACGTGTTTGTGTATATATATATATATATATATATATATATATATATAATCCGACACTCACCATCATTAAAAAATATAACTTGTAATACCTGGGTTCTTCCAGTGCCAAACATAAAGCAAATAGTGAATGGAGCACTCCTTAGGAAATTTTCAATCATGTATTTAATAAGTAATCAAGATTACTAAAATACACAATTGAAAATTTCCTAAGGAGTGCTCTGTTCACTATTTACTTTATGTGTATATATATTTTTTGTAATTATTTTTATTTATATATAGTGATATTATTTTTTCAAGTGTGTGTGCGTGTGTGTGTGTGTATGTATGTATATATATATAAAAATGATTAAAGAAAAGAGGAGTCAGAAGTTGTAATCCAATATTTTTTTTTATTTAGAAAAGCAAGTGGGAGAAGCAACAAAGCAGAGGCAGCTCAGGTTGTTAGGAGCAGTCCTGGGAGGATATAGTGCAGAGGAGAATGAACCAATGTATATTCAGGGGAAGGATAGGGAAAACCAGGAGGAAATTGAGAATGTAACAACCTACGATGAACAGCGTCAGTTGTGTTCACATTGTGGATGATAATGAGAAATAAACATCTGAGTGCATTCTTCCCACAGATATCTATTCATCATCATCATCCCTTCTGGGAAGACCCTGCGCACATCTTTCACGAACTAGGCTATCTACATCAGCGATGGTTATGCCCAAATTATGGGCAGCTTGCGCGCGCATTAAAATGCACTCTTCCTCCCTCATTTCCATAAAGCGCTGCATATTTTGCTGCAAGGAAACCATTGCTGATGTAAATTGCCTAACGCCCTCGTTCAAAATGTTCGACATGGAGCGTACCTCGGTTATTACATTCTGCAATAGTTCTCGCTGATTCTCCCTATCCTGCTGTATGGACGTCTCCAGTTCATCTTGACGAGCCTGGATCGTCGCATACAGCGCAGCCAATGGTGGAGGAAATTGTGGCATTTCTTCGGCCACTGATGTCTCTGACTCAGGATCCACTGCTGTTAGGGTAATGGTACCCTCCTCTTGCAGGGGGAGAGTACCATCAGAACCTAAATGGGAGAACAGAGAAAGAACATTGTTAGCATGTGTCATATGTTGCAATGCTTACTATTATCTGTAAAACAATATTATTTAAACTTGGAAATAAGATATATGCAGTCATGCTATTAATTTATTATTATGTCTAAGTATAGTTATGCATCTTTGTCCCCCCTAGCCCTTTCTCTGTCTGTTTGCATGTCTTTGTGCCCACCTCCCTTTCCTTCTAATCTCACTACATGTATCGTGGACGAGCGTCCCCAGGTAGAGAATCTCCTGTTACTTCTGCATGACAGGAAGCTGATCGTTGCACTCAGCTTCCTGTCAGGCCAAGAAGATGGTAGATAAGATCACACGTGGTCCACTCAGCCACAGTACATAAAGTGAACAGAAGGAGAGGAGCGATGTGAGCTCCCCCCCATCCCCTGCTGGTCACCCAGACATTTAGCCCCCTGGCCAGTGCATGCTAGGCAGATGCTTAGTATGCTTAGCGGTCGACCCGGCCCTGCCTGTTACATAAACTAGTATGCCTGCAAAGAAAATGTGTACAGTTAAAGCATTTTTTTACTTACGCTCAGCAGTGGATCCCTGTTCCTGGACACCAGTGGCCGGCTGTTGGAGGGAAACCACACTCGTACGTGGTGAAGAAACGTCGACAAGTTGCGGATGGCCTGAAATACATGTATGTGATAAATTAACTTCATATACAGTAAAATCACATACGTGTGTGTATGTTTAAATGCGCACGCACACACACACATAACATTTATCTAACAATGCTATGCAAGTACTTACAAGAGGAAAGTGAAGCCAGGCGCATTTCCAGGGAGACAGGAGGTGAACCTGCTGCCCTGCTCTCCGTGGAGACAGCATCTCCTGCAGTTCCTGGTGCCTCTTCTGGGGATTGAGGGGCTTGCACTGATGGCATAGAAAACACACATTGGAAGGTTAACACAAGTAAACTGATATATGTACATTGCGACTAACAAATATGAATTTAAAGGACCACTATAGGCACCCAGACCACTTCAGCTCAATGAAGTGGTCTAGGTGCCAGGTCCCTCTAGTTTAAAGCCTGCAGCTGAAAACATAGCAGTTCTAGAGAAACTGCTGTTTCACTGAGGGTTAATCCAGCCTCTAGTGGCTGTCTCACCGACAGCCACTAGAGGCGCTTCCGCGATTCTCACTGTGAAAATCACAGTGAGAAGATGCTGGACGTCCATAGTAATGCTTTCCTATTGGTGGTTTGAATGCGTGCACGGCTCTTGCTGCGCATTCGGAGCTGACGTCGGCAGAGGGAGGAGTGTTCCCCAGCGCCGAGGGAGCCCTGCGCTGGAGAAAGGTAAGTGGCTGAAGGGGTTGGAGAAAGGTAAGTGGCTGAAGTGGGAAGGGGGCCACGAGGGTGGGGAGGGACCTAATTACCCTACAGTGCCAGGAAAACGAGTTTGTTTTCCTGGCACTATAGTGGTCCTTTAACATCGTACCTTCAGATGTTTCAGTGCCAGGTGTCCCCTCAATCCCAAGGAGGTTGTCTCTTCCCAGGAACTGCAGGAGCTCCTCTTCATAGGGCAGCAGGTCCGGTTCTTGTGAACCGCCTCCTGTCTTCCTGGAGGCAGCTGCTGCCTTCACCTTCCTCTTCACCATCCGCCTGATGTCGTAGTAACTGCAATGACATGTGTAATTGATTAATTACTTTAATATGTTTCTGTGGCGGAACCAACCTCGCCACTATGCACTGGAGAAGCCTGGTTGCCAGCCTCCTGCCATGTGACTATGGCCCCTGGGATGTATTGCCCTTTAAAGACATGATTTGGGCATAATGGATTTGTGTTGTGCTGCTGCTGGCCCTTTTAAGAACCATCTGGGGACATACTGTGGAGTTACTGGGTGGCCACCATTTCCTGTATCAGAAGCACATGGTGAGAACAATGGATGGCGGCCATTTTAACTTACAGACACTGTGTGGACTTTTCAACACGGTGCCATCTCGCCAGTATTTGTTGCACAGAGACATCGTGCAGTGGTTTTGGACTATACAGCAGGGGACACATTATACAGTGATTGTTTTTTATTTAGCCTGTATATGTTCTGCAGAATCTGCATTAAACTGTATTTTCCAAAGTACTGAACGGATCTGGGTGAATTTTGGATATGGGGTTATTGCATGTTTTGGGGTCCCTGTGATGTGTTTTATGAAACTGTAGCCAGAGGGGAGGATTTTGTGTGGGAGTGTCTGGGTGTATTGTATGGATTGATTGGCTGTTTTGTAACGCCCTGTGGGCTGTACTATGTTTGTGGATTGGGAATAAAAGAGACTGTATGTGACAGTACAGGGAGTTCCTGTTTTAACCCTCAAAGTGAAGTGTCGTCTCATTATTGGGGAAAGGATTTATTGTATGCTGTTCCAGTTTGACTGCTAGGAGAGTAAACCTATTCATATGGTTCCTATTCAACTGTCTACAGCATTCATATGCTTGAGATGATTCATATGCTTCTCCGGTTCGGTGGTTGTGGTGTCTGCTGCAGTGCTTGGAGTCCTCAGGAAGGGCTAGGAGCATCTTTTAACGGAGGTACCCAGTCGGGGTGCCAGGCGATCCGTTACAGTTTCTATATATATGTTTACTGACATGTTTAAAGGGATACTATAGGCACCCAGACCAAGCATTGGATTTGCTGATCTTGTCAATTATGAAGATCGCAGCCAAGGAGGCAGAGCACAGCTCTGCTATAAGGATGAGTAATTAAAGGGACACTCCAAGCACCCAGACCACTTCTGGGTGCCAACTCCCACTACCCTTAACCCTGCAACTGTAAATAAATATTGCAGTTTTCATAAACTGCAATATTTACCTTGCAGGGTTAACTCCTCCTCTAGTGGCATCGCTGAAACCCCCATAGGAAAGCATTTTTCAATGCTTTCCTATGGGGAGGTCTAATGTGCATGTGCAGCATTGCAGCACATGCGCATTAGGTCTCACCCCGCCGGCGGCAGCGCATGCGCAATTGGTCTCCCCCTGGGATGAGGGGTGCGACACGGTTTGTTCTCCTGGCACTGGAGTGTCCCTTTAATTACAGTTACATTGCTGAGAGGGAGGTTAAACTGTGTTTTCACAGTTATAGTGACAGGAATGCAAACATGTATTCCTGTCACTCTAGTGTTCCTTTAAAGCTGAGCTGCACATGGTTTTTTTTTTCCCTCTATGTGCTTAAGTGACCCAACCCTCACTTTTAAAAGACTTTAAAAGCATAGCTGCCACTGGTGGGGGTGTGTAGCAAAAGCACATGGAGAAAAATTAATAAAACATGGCATAAAGAAAATTATTTTTTAGGAATATAAGTGCACTTACCGTTTCTTCACCACGTCCTCGGTGCGGTTGTTCCCTCCAACAGCATTCACCACTGCCACAATCTTCCTCCACCGATTTTCCTTCTGTGCTCTTGAACTCTTTTTGGCTGCTCCCCCAAATATACATTGGTAGTACTGGCAAAGTTTGTTTACCAGTACTGTATTCTCCTCTGCACGAAAGCTATCTGCGTATTTATTCTTCCTCCCAGGATCTGCTCTTTTTAAGATCCTGGGCTGCCTCTGCTTCTGCTTGCTTCTCCCACTTGCTTCTCCTACCTCCTGGCCAGAGTGGCCAATGCCCCCTCCACTACATCCATGGCTATCTCGCTTGAGGAGCTGGAGGAGGACATGACCACTTCTGGCAGGCTCAGTGTCCAAGTGCCTAAAATGGCTGACAGGGTGGTGGGCTGGCTGAGCTCCAAAATGGCTGAATGGCTGGCCTATAGAAAATCTGGATAGATTTTGCATTGAAGGACTGCCTTGAGTTGATACTTTTTTTTTTTCTACAGTTTTGTCTGGCAGTATGTAAAAGCCTATTTAATTGGCTACTACTTTCCCACTCCCTTATAAAATGATACTGTGTTGCCAGTACCACCTGTCAGGGAAGCATGATGATTCATGAGCCCAAGAAACTAAGCAAAAGCAATGCATTGCATTTGCAATGTCATTCGACATGCGAATGACTATTGTAAGTGGTGTTCGGTAGTTTACTAATAGTGCCAATACATTTTCATGCGAACGGCAGTGTTCGTGCATTTGACGGTTCGGGAGTTTTAGGCGTAAATAGATTAGAACATTGTTCAATGCCATGTGTTGGGAGATCAATGTACGAAAATGTAAACGAATGAATGGTTTTACTGCGTTCACTTGAGGCTATTCGCTATTTAGGGATTAGGGAACTGACTTTTATGATTGCATTGTATTTGCAATACCATTCGACATACGAATGACTATAGTGAATGGTGTTCGGTAATTTACTAATAGCGCCAATAAATTTTCATGCGAATGCCAGCGTTCGTGCATTTGACGGTTCGGGAGTTTTAGGCATAATACAGCATTCAATCAATGCCATGTTGTTAGCAATGTACAACATTTGAAACGAATGGTTTTACTGAGTTCGGTTGAAGCTATTCGGTATTTAGGGATTAGGGAACATAGTTTTATGTATTCAATTCATTTGGCTCAATTAAATCGCGCCGAATGAACGAACAAGTTTAGCCGAAATGAAAATACTACCGAATATCGTACGAAAACGAATGAAAGAATTGACGAATTTCGGTTCTGACTAAAGTATTTTCTTTTTCGTACGAATACATTCGTACGAAACGAAAATTTCTGAAATGCCCACGTCTACCAGAAACACACAATACATCCCTTATACACATATACACACTGCTTCCACTACACACAAACACACTGCATCACTTACACAAACTGGTATCCCTATACACTACATATCACAAGCACACATATTAGATCCTCTACAATAACACATAACACATCCCCTACACACTCCACTCCCTGTGAGCGAACTCATGGGTGGGTGGAGTATATAAGTGGACTCATGAGTGGGCCTTATGGGCATACTCACAGTCAGGCCCTGGGGCTCAGACCTTGAGCTGTGTATGGGGCCCCCAAAAAATGGAGCTGCTTCCAATTCTCCCAGAACATTGAATTTTGTGACCACAGTTGCAAACAGCCTTCAGACAGCCTGTTCTACACCAGACCAGTGGAGCCAAACTGCACCCGGAAACCAGGAAAAGGTGGGCATGGATGGTGAACTGGTTTGGTGGTGCAATGGGCCACTAGACTAGCTTTGCACCCCAGGCCTAAGGCTGCCAGCACTCCACTGAAATCCACCCATTTACCATAAATCTGAAGCAATACACTATCTTGTTTATTTTCACAGGCCGCAAAAACAAATAGACTAGGTGAGTTTCAGGGCATATCCACCTATAGCTACAAATAAGTGCACAATATGGAGAAAAAATAAATGAATTATGAGCTCAATACACCTTAGGTGGTATCCCCTGAACCACTTCTACAAAATACAAACAATTGAGCAGTTCAGTGTAAAGCTGTAATAGTATAAAAATGCAAAACAATAGTACAATATTGTTGGAACAAGTTAAATATAATATATGAACATTAGGAGTATCACAGTGTGACAGATCCATCTGTATAGACTGAGATTGCTGGATTCGTCTGTTTTGCCTTTTCGTGGAATTCGTTTGCCCCTGTTCAGTGAATTGACTTTTCCAACGAACAAAACTACTGAATGAACGGCCACCCAGAAGAGAAGTGTGCTGCTGGTTAACCTCTTGATCCCAATTAGAACGTTACGGTTAACCACAGACACTTCTCGATTAAAACCGAATACAGAGAGCAGCCTGTCGCATATCTCACCCGAAAGTTATTACCCAGAGAAGTGAGTTATGCGGCAGTGGAGAAAGAGTGTTTGGCCCTAGTCTAGACATTAACCGGGTCTCAGGAGACAATGGTAGACTGTTGAGGTGGAGTTTGACACTACAACCCTAAAATTTCCCTATCAGGTACAGACCCGGTAAGCAGAACGGGAATGCAGATGGATTATTCATTGTTCGCATTTCGACCACGAGGCGGCGGCCATTTTAAACCATGCGAAAGACCAGCGGTGTTCGGCATTGATTTCATGGAACTGAAAACGGACACTTTTTCAGCCGAACACCGCTGAAGCCGCCGACCTCCCTTCTCAATCGACAGAAGTGTGCGAACACCGGCCGTTCGGGAGGTTTAAATGCACGAATGGACTTACCCCAGATAGCCTTCCCATGGAGTCAATCATATACCGAAAGACTGTAATAGACTTTGACTCCATGGCGATTGAACTATGCGTATGGAATCTGAGCGCTATTCGCCTATAATATGCACTCAGATCCAGGCTAAGGATAAGATGGCGATTTGCCTCTGTCCTTGAGATAATTGAATTACTTCTCAATTATCTCCAGGGCAGAGGTGAGGAAATACTAATGCATGCTGAGAATATTCTGTGTCTGTGGGTCCTAACCTGCCATATGTCTGTCTATTGTTACAGTCTCCCATTTGGTCCCCTAGGGGAGTGTCCACCAAGTGGGAGACCTGCATAAATACGGGCAGGTAGCCCACAGTAAAGCCAGTTCATATTTTACCCTCAATGCGGAGCTTGGTCTCGTTATTGGGGGGATTTATTACCGACGACTAGAGACTGCTGGATGGGATTATTAGCCGCTTGGGAGATATATGCGTTCGGCTACTATTAGCAATTCGTTATTTTGGAGCTCGTGGAATGAAGTGCCCGTACGGATCCCGTTTGTGAGTTTGCAGTGTTCCCTTGCTTGCGTTTCGCATGATTGTACTGGATACGCATGCAGCCTATGCTATTGCGAGAGGGGAGCATTCACTAAACGGCGGTTTGTACATTTAATGCTGAGGGTACCGTAACACACAGTATCACTCACAAGTCAAGAGCCATTGGTCACATTGCATGTAACATCGAGTTTAGATAAATGCTCTATATAAAGTAATACGTAAACTAGTAAATTGTGAGCTAATAGTGCCTAGGGCATCCTAAGGGTTAAACTTTACCCATTCAATACCAGTATTGGGTTTGGAGTTAACCTCAGGACTTTTCCTGTATAAACCACAGATTCTACTTCAGCACTGTGGGTATTGATAGACTTTATTTCAGTTGATCTTTTTCTATCTCTACCAGCTTTGCAACTAATTATAGCTGTGACGAGACCAATCTCGCCACATTGCATTGGAGAAGCCTGGTTGCTCGCCTGCTGCCTTTGGACTATGGCCCCCTTTTAAAAGACTTTATTTTTCCATGCAGAAAAGCCATATTCATTCTTTTCTGCCGGTTGTTCGGTAGCTTCAATCTACCGAACAACCGTACGAATGACTGGACCACCTGGGAGCTGGAGTGTGCCGGCAATTAACCTCCCTGAAGCTGCGGTTAACCGCAGCTTAATTGATGAACGCTGGGTGGCCGCCGTTCGTATCCCGAACACGAGGTCGCGGCCATTTTAAACCATACGAATGAACAGCGGTGTTCGCCTCTATTTTCATGGAACTAAATCGGACACAGTTTTGCGCGAACACCGCTGAAGCCGCCGACCTCCCTTCTTGTTCGGTGAAAGCACACGAATGACCCGGTGTTCGGTATTTTTGTGTGAATGTCTTATACCCCAGATAGGAATCCCATGGAGCCCATTCGTATGAAACTGACTGTAAAGACTTTGGCTCCATGGCGATTGAACTGTATTCGTGTAGTCTGAGTGCCATTCAACTAATAATGTGCACTCAGACCTGAGCTATCTGGGGATGTGTTACATGCCTGTGTTTAATGTAGTAAATGTTACTTTGTGCATTTTAAAGTATAATGCTGTTTTTGTGTTCCCACGTGTGTAATGGAGTTTTGCCTTTGTCTTGGGAGATAATTGAGTTACTTCCCAATTATCTCCCAGGGCAGAGGGGAGGAAGCCAGGATGCATTGTGGGAATATACTGTGACTGTGTGTCCTTTTTGTATACTTGTCTGTCCCTTGTCACAGTCTCCCATTTGGTCCCCTAGGGGAGTGTCCACCAGGTTGGAGACCTGCATAAAAGCTGGGCAGGTAGCCCTCATTAAACAGACCACTGCTTGACCCTCAACACGGAGCCTTGTCTCGTTCTTGGGGGGATTCACTGTATGCTGTTGGAGACTGATTGCCAGGAGTGTAAGCCGCTTGGAAGCTTTTCCTGTTCGCCTGCTAGCAGCTATTCGTATGGTTCCTGTTAGTTTATTTGAAGTGCTACCTTATTCCCTTGTATGCCGTTCGGGAGTTTGGAGCATTCACTTATTGGCGGTTCGTGAGTTTTGGTGATTATTCAGTAGCTGTGCCTGTCTCTGAAAAGGGGATTATCGTCTAAGCGGTTTTTTCCCCTTTTGTGCAAAACGGTCCGTTACAATAGCCATAGGATTTTCCTACATGAACAAGTCTTTTAATTACATCTACTTACTCCAATTTAACCCTTGGAAGTTTTAGTACTTCCCAACAGGATTTCTGGGGCTGTTTGAGGCTACCCTAGAGGTGGATTGTTTTTAAGTGTGTAGTGCTTGTCCCTTCTAATACTATATCCTGTTCACTTGAATTTGAGACTTTGTTGTCTTTTTTATATATACCAATCTGGGATATAGTTTAAATTATATTTCAGTAGCTCACACTGTTTCAATTTTTCGCTATTATTGATACTGAGCTATGTAGGTTTCCCCTCCTTTTTAATTGATAGTGATTATCACTTTTCACTTATTGTTGCACCTATTTTGTATGTCAATTTCTAATAAAGTTTATTACCTATAAGCTGATTTTTTTTTTTTAATTTAGAGGTTAATTCCAGTGGGGTACAGCGCCTCCCTTCATCTAGAGAGCCGTCTGACCTCATTAGTTGTATTCTTTGTCTATATGTTAACATTCTTCCTGTCCTTAAATTTTATTGCAAGCTTTGCATTCACCTATTTTTTTTAATTTGGCCTCTATGTGACTTCTGGGGAGTTTTTGGCATTTTGTCTCACAGTGCCACAGGCCAGTGTCTGCAAACCATAAAGAATTTGAAACAAACTAACACTGCTACAAAAATTGTCCACATAAAGGTGGTAACCTTTATTGAATGAGGGGATCAGTAGGTCCCAAACTATTTTCCCACTTGTCCCCAGAAAGTCAGGACAATCAGGAGGGTCCAATTGACCATCTTTCGCTCATATAAGCAAAAGGCAAACGTATAGCCACTTTCGCTCTGGCAAAGTTGGTAGTATTTTAGAGCGCTTTGTGGGGATGTACTGTTTTGAATCCTAATCTGCCTTTATATTGCATTAAGGATTCATTAATTGATACATTTTCATGGGGGTATAAACTTCAAAAAATTTGTGTTGAAGATGGTCTACCAGTGGGCGTATTTTATGAAGCCTATCTATTGGGGGTGATCTCTGGGATGACATTTTTCCAAGATTTTGGACAATATGGGGAGCAATGATATTGGACAATAGTTGGATACCAAAGTATTGACACCTTTTTTATGGATACGTTCTACTTTTGCAGTCTTCCAAAGTTTTGGTATGTATCCAGACACCAGAAATTCATGAATTAAGGTAGCAATAGGTTTAGCAGTTGCCGGCGCACTGAGCTTCAGCAACATTACTTGAAAAGATTTAAGATTTCAAAACACAAACTTCCATCAAACATAGGTATTATGCTATAGTGAAAGTGTGAGTTACTTTCATAGCATTTAAGTACCTTGTGGTAGAGTTCAAGACGTTCTCTATTATTGTTAAAAGTTTGTAGATACAAAAAGAGCATGAAGGTTTGAGGATGCATACTCCAGATACCACAGAGCCAAAATGCAAGTATAGCTAATGTTGTTACTTATCAATACACAGCAATCAATTCCAGACCTAGTTACTTTCATCGGGTTAAGGCAAGAAATTCAAATGTTAGGATAAATAAAGACCCCTCTAATGGTTGATCATTTTCCATGTTTCTCGGTTGTAGTACAGAAGCCTAATTGTGCTTAGCACTGTGTTTAGTTTAATGGCTCACTAGTTTTAATTGGATTCATGTTATTCTTATTAGCCAGGATGAAGGCTTTCAACGGCTCTCCATGTTTATGCTTCAATAGACCAGTCGTTAAGGTTCTTGTTTTTATGTTCACTGTAACTGAAGTGTCCTGTGATGATATGTATGGATGCCTTTAAAGTACCACCTATACATGCCTTCCTCTGTCACTCACATGTCAGGTGGTATTATCAGTGTTACTTCGTAATGCATTAACCTTTTATAGCTGCCTGAAGCTCGTAGTGTCAGTCTTTGTACCTACCCATTTATTATATGGTTTTGTGATAGATAAAACCTACAATTTTCTCATGTTTAGCTAAATAGCGCCCTGTCTCCAGATAAGTATAGTAATTATTGTCTTACAAAATAATTTGCATCCCCTCTAGCTTTAAACAATTATTTCATATTTCCCTTTATAAAAAGGTATGGATGTATTTTCTTTAGTGCTTCTCTAATGTCATTGTTCCTCAGGCTGTATATTATTGGATTAAGCATTGGGGTTACCACTGTCAAAAACATAGACAGAATTTTGCTTGTCGTCAATGATCTTTCATTAGTTGGAACAGCGTAAATGCTAGTTAGAGTCCCATAGAATATGGAAACAACAGTCAAATGGGAGCTGCAGGTAGAGAAGGCTTTCTTTTTCCCACTAATTGATGGAATTCTAGCAATAGTGAGAGCAATATAGACATATGACACAATTACCATTAAGAAAGGTATAACAATTATAGGGACTGCTAGGAAAAAAGCTTCTATATGTATTATTAAGGTATCAGAACATGAAAGCTTCAAGAGTGGATCAATATCACAAAAGAAATGATCAATGATGTTAGGTCCACAAAATACCAGCTGAGTTATGGGCAGTATAATTAATAATGCCACAAAAAAGCCTAACACCCAAGATATAACTATTAATTTAATACAAAATGCATGGTCCATTATAGAGGTATATTGCAGGGGGTTACAGATGGCCAGATATCGGTCATAAGACATCACTGTTAACAGGAAACATTCTAAAGCTTCACAAGCACCGAAGAAGTAGTACTGAGTTATACAAGCTTTTAGAGATATAATACCTCCTTCATGATTGACGATGGAAAGCATTTGAGGTGCAATACTTGTTGTCAACAAAATATCTGATATGGACATTTGAGTAAGAAAGAAATACATTGGAAAATGAAGATGTCTGTAACATGACACTAACACAGTGATGAGGAAATTTCCAGATATTGTCAGACAATAAACAACAAGAATGATAGAAAATAATAAATGTCTCATGCTGTGAAGGTGATGGAATCCCAATAGGATTATCTCAGTGACCATTGTGTGATTCTCCATATCTATTGTCTGTAGATAAAAGAAGAATGTTTCATATTATACTTTGACAGCAGTTCAAACAGTGGGTCATACCATTATTTATAAAGTATGTAAATTGGCATTGCTACAATCTATCAGTGTATCAGCAATAACCTATTCCCCTAAACAGTCTAAATATTGGCTTGATCTCATCTTGTCTTTCAAAGCAAAACAAAAGCTTGTAAAAAAAAAAATCCATTTAACTTCACATCTGCTAGCAAAGCTCGGTTCAGTCAAATAATTATCCTAAAATCACGATGTTTTTTGGGATGTCCAATACTTGTTTATGTGACTATTTAAATAAGTGGAGGTTTTTAGTACCATGCCAGTGGCAACTTAACCCCTTCAGGACAGAGTCAATAGTACACGTTCTGATCAAAACAAAATGTAAACAAAAACTGAAATTTGCGCTATATGTCTGTTAACCCCGTAAGGACACAGCTTCAGAAGCTTGACTTACGCTTAATGACACAAGCAATTTTTGCATTTTCTTGCTGTTTGCGTTCAACTGCAATTTGCATCTCTCTCATTTATTGCACCGACACATATTATATACTGTTTTTTAAAGGACAGAAAGGGCTTTCATTTGATATAACATATATATATATATATAACATATATATATATAAATGCTTACTTATTATAAAAAAATACAGAAAAATGCAAATAAAATGAAAAATATTGTTTTTTTTTTACAGTTTTTGCAATAATAATGTGTGCATAATTAGTGCAGGTTAAGGAAAGTAATTAAAAATAAATTTATTTATTTGTTCTGATTTACAGAATATATAATGTGTCTGGGATTTTAAGTTTTTTTTTGGTAGTTACAGGTCACAAAGCACAAGGAGTAAAATAAACTTTTAATGTGGAGTGATTTTAGAATTTGGTATGTTTGTCTTGTAAGCTTAATAGCCATAAAGGAAAACAAAATTGCCACACAAAAGTATATATTTATATAAAGTAGACATCACGGGCTATTTACCTAAGGTTGTTTTGACACTTTCTACGTAGCCATTTCACCGCCAACCTCTGCTAAATATTGGAGTAAAATTGTGTTCTTTTTGGTTTTTGGCACACAAACTTTTAACAGAGAAATTCTCGTGTATATTTTGTAAAGTTGGTGTGTGCTATTCCTGTACAAAGTTTTATTTTGTGTTCAGTTACATCTGCTGAGTAAAATGACACCCCATATCAATGTCTTTGGCACTATTTCGTGAAGCTACAGTGCCATATAGGAGACCTGTCCTTTACAGTATTCACAGTAGAATTTTGAGAGATGGATTTAATGAGCCTAGGCTTCCATTTGGGGTATTATACCAGTTTAACTGTTCAAAAAAAGCCCACAAAGGCCTACCATTTGTAAAAGTAGACACTCCAGGGTATCTCATATGGTGCATATTGTGCCTTAACATGCCCCCATTTTTTCACCAATATATGCCAAAGTATGTGGTAAAAAATAATTTTGTGCATTTTTTACATACGGATTGCATTTTGCTGGGCGTTTTGTATATTTCATATGTGCCACTAAGTTCAAACCCCCCAAATTATGCTCAGCTAAGTCTTCTGAGTAAAATGACACCCCATATGAATGTCTTCGGCACTATTTCGTGAAGCTACAGTGCCATATAGGAGACCTGTCCTTTACAGTATTCATAGTAGAATTTTGAGAGATGGATTTAATGAGCCTTAGCTTAAATTTGGGGTATTATAACAGTTTGACTGTTCAAAAAAACCCCACAAAGGCCTACCATTTGTAAAAGTAGACACTCCAGGATATCTCATAAGGTGCATATTGTGCCTTAACATACCCCCATTTTTTCACCAATATATGCCAAAGTATGTGGTAAAAAAATTATTTTGTGCATTTTTTACATCCGGATTGCATTTTTGCTGGGCGTTTTGTATATTTCATATGTGCCACTAAGTTCAAACCTCCCAAATTATGCTCAGCTAAGTCTTTTGAGTAAAAATACACCCCAATGAATGTCTTTGTCACTATTTTGTGAAGCTACAGTGCCATATAGGAGACCAAGCCATATCCGTTTTTACCAAACTTTGAATTTTGACGCTGGGCCTATGTGCAATTTCCAAGCATCTTCGCAGGTTTTAAATTCAAACTACCCCACAAAGGCCTACCATTTCTTAAAGTAGACACCCAGGGTGTTTCAAAAGGTATAGTTTGAACCTTAGCGTGGGATCATTTTTCCGCTAGCTTGTACCAAGTGTAGTGGTAATAAGCATTTTTTCTGCCTTTTTGACATACAAAGTGAGTTTGCGCAGCATATTTTGCAAACCTTATGTGTGCTACGACTGTATAATACTTCATATGTTGCTCAGCTATGTGGGCTGAGTACAGCAATACCCCCGTATGTACCTTTGCCAGGTATGTGTGGACATCGGAGGGGCACATTTGGGACACAGCCATTCCAGTTTTTTTCAAACTTTGAATTTTTATGCTGTGCCTATGTCCCATTTTAGAGTATTTTACCAGGCTATATAATCCAAATTCCCCATAAAGCCATACCATTTCTTAAAGATCCCAGGGTATTTCAAAAGGCATATTTTGAACCTTAGCGTGGGATCATTTTTCCGCTAGCTTGTACCAAGTGTAGTGGTAATAAGCATTTTTTCTGCCCTTTTGACATACAAAGTGAGTTTGCGCAGCATATTTTGCAAACCTTATGTGTACTATGACTGTATAATACTTCATATGTTGCTCAGCTATGTCGGCTGAGTACAGCAATACCCCCGTATGTACCTTTGCCAGGTATACGTGGATGTTGAAGGGGCGCATTTGAGACGCAGCCATTCAGTTTTTTTCTAACTTTGAAGTTTTACGCTGTGTCCATGTTCCAATTTGGAGTAGTTTAGGCGGTTGGTTATTGAAACTTCCCCACAAACACATACTATTTATTAAAGAATACACCCTGGGGTAATTCAAAAGGCATATTTTGAACCTTGGCATGGGATAATTTTTTCTCTAGTTTGTTCCAGGTGTAGTGGTAATGAGCGTTTTTAAAATGTATTTTTTTACTTTTTATAACTTTTTTACTTTTAAAAACTACTTTTTAAACTTTTGTTTTGCTTATAATTTTTTTTTAAACTTTCCTAAACTTTCTTAAAACTTTTTTACAGATTTAACATTTTTCTAAGCTTTTTTTTTTACCGTTAACCCCTAACTAGCAGTACGCAGCACTAACAGTAAATTGCCCATTTTCCCATAACTCCCACCCACCCCAGCTAGCAAAATATATAGTTATAAAATATTTAAATTAATTAATTAAATAAATTGAACCCCTGAGGGTTAAAAAAATAAATAAAAGTTAATCCTCAGGGGTTAAAAAAATTAGATCACAGTATAATACTGTGATCTCTATTTGATCGCTGTAGTCAGTGATCAATTGGCAGGGAAGGGGTTAATTTTTTATTAAAATGGGTAAGGGGGGGGACACTTTAAATTAACTTTTTTTTTTTTTTTACAGCAGGGGGCAGGATGTGCACTGTTCCGGCTCCCTGCACTTCACACAGAACCAGGAAGTGCAGGGAGCCGGTAGGTGAGTATACAAAGCACATGTGCTCGCTCTGACTTGCGGTCAGAGCGAGCACATGTGCTGGGCAGCCTGACCGGGTGCTCTCGGTATGCCTCTAATGCAGAGGCATACCGGGAGCACCATTAACCCCGCGATCGCCGCGATAGCGGCGATCCGGGGTTAATTTTACCGCGTGACGGACGAGGTCCGTCACCCGTCGTTAAGGGTCTCCCCTCTGTGACGGACCTCGTCCGTCACCCGTCCTGAAGGGGTTAACCTGTAGTTCACCTCTTTCATATTATATGCACCCACACTTATTATATATCAGTTTGTTCAGGAGAAACAGGGTTTTCATTTCATATCAAATATTTATATATGAAACATAATTTATCATGAAAAAAAAGAGAAATTTAAAGTTTTTTAAAAAATGTGTAGTTCCACATCACATTTTAGCTGTAAATGTCATAATACTGTTAGCTTTTACTGCAAAAAAGCACATAATTTGGATTCAGTGTCACGAGTACAGTTTTTACGGTGTTTTGGAAAGGTAAAGGATCAAATATAGCACATTCCATTTTTCATTTTTTTCACATTGAAATTTGCCATATTAGTAATGTTACCTTTGAGACCGTGTGGTAACCCAGGAATGAGAATAACCCCCATGATGACATACCATTTGCAAAAGTAGACAACCCAAGGTATTGCAAGTGGAGTATGTAGTAGCCACTTAGTCACAAACACTGGCCAAAGTTAGTGTTCATATTTGTTTTTGTGTGAAAAAAGCAAAAAACAAATATTTGGCCAGTGTAACTAAGTAGCTACTAAAAATGACTGGACATATCCCGTTTGCAATACCTTTGGTTGTCTACTTTTGCAAATGGCATGTCACATCATGGGGGGTAATTCTTATTCTTGGGCTACCATACGGTCTCAAAAGGCAACATAACCAATTTTTAAAACAGCTTTTTGTCTATTAACCCTTCTATTACCAGAAAGCAAGGTTATCCTATATATCATATTGATTATACAGGTTTGCGTTTTAGCATTACATAACCAAATGGATATTTGCCACAATGTTTCTAAAGGGCAACATTTGCTACAGCTCCCTCTTCTTGCTAGACAAGTGGTAACAAAGTGTGTGTTTGTGTCATGTTGCAAAAAATGGCAGGAAAGAGTTAACATTCCTTTGTTTGTAACTGATAACTTGTATATATGCAAAATTTGTAATCACAATCAGATTTTCACAACATGTCTGTCTATTGTAGAAAAGATCTGATCCTAGATTTCCCCACTACTCTGACCATGGCTACTTAATTGGAAAAGGCTTTTTCAGAGGGTATTGGCTATTTGGCTAACAATTTTAGTGACTTTGGGACCCTAATATCCTGATATCTGGGAGTATGGGAAGAACAGCGAGGTGGAAACAAAAATCCAAGCTTGTGAATCCATCGTGTCCAACCTTGTATTTTGCCTACACTGATTTTGTACGGAATCCCTAACATCTGGTGATGGGTTCTTTTAGGACCAGTGGAAATAGAATGACACCGTCATGACTGACCTGTTCTCAAGACTACCAGGTAATATGAATAGAGTTGAGCGAACCCGAACCGTGAAGTTCGGGTTCGTACCGAACATTACGGTTTTTGGACCCCGGACATGGATATTTCAGTGTATGTTCGGGTTGGAGTTAGATGTTTGGCGATTTAATGGCACATTTTTTGAAAGGCTGCAGGGCAGCCAATCAACAATCTTTTGACTCGTTTGCCCTTAGAAGCCTTCACAGCCATGCCTACTAATGGCATGGTTGTGATTGGCCAGTGCAGCATGTGACCCAGCCTCTATATATAAACTGGAGTTGTGTAGTGCCGCATGCACATGAGCTCTTATTAGTGTAGGGAGAGGATACTGCAGCTGTTAAGGACAGATTAGGAAATAATTCTGGTGTTGAATCTGCAAACTACAGCGATTATTCAAACGACAGCCGTTATTTTAGTGAGTGCTATACAAAATTTTTGTACCCTGCCCTGAGCCCAGTGCAGTTCACTTGCAACTGCATGTGTGCCAGGCACATGAATTTAATCCTGTTCTGGTAGCTCAGTGGGCAACATTTGACATTTTTAAATACTGCAATATTTTGGGCGCTAAATAGTACATTTCCGTACTACATTTCTTGCAGCCTAATAAAACCCTTAAATACTACTGTTACATTGTTGGTTTGAAAAAAAACCCAAAAAAAACAAAAACACTTTTTTTGTGCTAAATAGTACATTTGCGTCCAGATATGCACTTCATATCTGAGAGTCAAATAGAACTGTCAAACACTGCTTACAGCGCGCATTTCTTGCAGTCCAAAAAACAAAAAAAAAATTTAAATAAATTGTTGACTATTGGCGGTTACATTGTCGCCTGACAAAAAACATCTGTTAGTTTGGTAAGTGAACGCAAAAATATGAGGAGAGCAATATTAAATAAATTGTTGACTATTGGCGGTTACATTGTCGCCTGACAAAAAACATCTGTTAGTTTGGTGAGTGAACGCAAAAATATGAGGAGAGCATCAAATAAGGGACATGACCATGGTCGTGGTCCTGCTTGTGTTGGTGGAGCTCCTGTTGCAAGGAGAGGACGTGGTTGATCTGTGCCAGCTACACGCCCAGATGAAACACCTTCCTCAGGTGCGAGTACGCCACAGAACCTTCAGCATTATATGGTAGGCCCAAATGCTGCTCTATGAATGGTGAGGCCAGAACAAGTACAGGCAATAGTAGACTGACAGTGCCTCCAGCGACTTCACATTGTCTCCCACCCAGTCCCCTGCTGAAAGCTTAGAGTTGGCACCTGTAGCCCATGGCCATCTCTCCTTATTATTATTATTATTATTATTATTATTATTATTATTGCCATTTATATAGCGCCGTATAGATTCCGTAGCACTTTACAATATTATGAAAGGGGATTTAACTATAAATAGGACAATTATAAATAAACTTACAGGAACAATAGGTTGAAGAGGACCCTGCTCAATCGAGCTTACATTCTATAGGAGGTGGGTAGTGATGTCATGAACCGAAGGCCTAGGTTCATGACGGCTGAGCAGCGAACTTCATAAATGTTCGCGAACCGGCGAACCGCCCGAAGCGCCATTGACTTCAATGGGGAGGCGAATTTTAAAACACACAGGGACTCTTTCTGGCCACAATAGGGATGGAAAAGTTGTTTCAAGGGGACTAACACCTGGACTGTGGCATGCCGGAGGGGGATCCATGACAAAACTCCCATGGAAAATTACACAGTTGATACAGAGTCTGGTTTTAATCCATAAAGGGCAGAAATCACCTAACATTTCTAAATCACAATCAATATGGATTGACACCTGACATATGACATATTGACACCTTGACGCATATGGATTGACACCTGTCCTCAGAGGCGATGCACCACGGACACAGAGCAGAATAGAGACTGGTCCCCTACATAGGGTCACTTGGCAGATATGGTTGACACCTGTCCTCAGAGCCCCTTATACACACTGACACAGAGCAGAATAGGGACTGTTCCCCCTACATCGGGTCACTTGGCAGATATGGATTGACACCTTGTTACAAACTGCTATTTGTAACGGGCCTTTTAAATGGCAAATTGCCCTGTTTCCCTGGGTTGTGGAGAAGCCTCTTTGCCAGCCTCCTCCCGCATGACTATGGCCCCTGGGAGATTGTGAAAATGTATGCACTTTTATTTTGTGTGTATGGCCCTTTAAGACTGTCGGTGGGCATATTGGGGCTTATGGACTCTTTATGTGACTGGTGCTGGCCCTTTAAACACCTTTTTTGGGACATCAGGAAGATTGGGACACTGCCCCTTTAAGGCCGTGTCCCCAGACTATTGGGGACCGCGGCCCTTTAAGGCGGTGTCCCCTGTGTCCCTGAACCTGGTGCAAACCCTTTGTGCCTGCCTTGCTATTTCCACTTGGTTCAGTAAATGGGAAATTATTTCAGCTACCCAGAGACTAAGTCCCATTGATGGGACTTAGTCTTTTCAACCGTTTTTTCAGCCTTATTTCAGCTGCAGAGACTAAAGTCTATTCGTGATGGGACTTAGTCTTTTCAACCCGTTTTTCAGCCTTATTTCAGCTGCAGAGACTAAGTCCCATTCGGCGATGGGACTTAGTCTTTTTTTCAGCCTTATTTCAGCTGCAGAGACTAAGTCCCATTCGGCGGTGGGACTTAGTCTTTTTTTCAGCCGTTTTTTTCAGCCTTATTTCAGCTGCAGAGACTAAGTCCCATTCGGCGATGGGACTTAGTCTTTTTTTCAGCCGTTTTTTTCAGCCTTATTTCAGCTGCAGGGACTAAGTCCCATTCGGCGATGGGACTTAGTCTTTTTTTTAGCCGTTTTTTTCAGCCTTATTTCAGCTGCAGGGACTAAGTCCCATTCGGCGATGGGACTTAGTCTTTTTTTCAGCCGTTTTTTTCAGCCTTATTTCAGCTGCAGAGACTAAGTCCCATTCGCGATGGGATTTAGTCGTTTTTTCAGCCTGAAATAGACCGACCTCACAGCCCAAATCTATGGAACTGTTTTGGCAGGAAAATGTGCTTGCGGTCGGTCATAAAGGGACCTCCAGCTAACTTTTTAACCCTTGGATGGATTTGGCTGATTTTTGGTTATGTTTATGTTTTAAGTGTGCTGATTCCAAATATGTAATTATGAAGATGGGATGTGTAGTTTTAAAGTTACAGGGTATGGCTAAAAAACTGTATTTTTACTGCCTGTGTTTAATTATGTTAATCTCTTCCCAAACGTCATTTCGTTCAAAGTGGAGAGAATGTTAAAAAAATATATTTTTGTTCGGAGTGTGAGAAATGCTTTTCAGCCGCTTCTAATCTTAAGCATCATTTGAGGAGCCATACAGGAGAGAAACCTTATTGGTGGTGTGTTTAGTATTGTTCTGATCAGTTTAATACCTTCCGCGTCTCCTATCAGTGGACGTGTATATGGCAGCCATTTTAGGAACCGTACACCTGGGACCCGAGCAAGGTCACCTCGTTCAACAGGCGACAACATTTGTCCATGGAAAAGTATCCTGGACATTCTGTACAATTTGTATGGATATGGCAGTGATTTCTGTAACAGGGAGATGGAAGAAGAGGCTTGGTCGGTCCTCTT